CCACCTCATCGACTTGCTGGGTTGATCACCAACTTCATAGACTTGCTGGGTCGATCCCTCACTTGATCGACTTGCTGGGTCGATCCCCCACTTGATCGCCTTGCTGGGTCGATCCCCCACTTGATCGACTTGCTGGATCGTTCCCCCACTTGATCAACTTGCTGGGTCGATCCTCCAATTGATCGACTTACTAGGTCGATCACCCACTTCATAGACTTTCTGGATCGATCCCTCACTTGATCGACTTGCTGTGTCGATCACCCACTTCATAGACTTGCTGGGTCGATCCCCCACTTGAACGACTAGCTGAATCGATCCCCACTTGATCGACTTGCTGAGTCGATCCATCACTTGAACGACTTGATTGGTTCGTCTCTCACTTGATCGATTGCTGGATTTATCTTCCACTTATGGATTATTGTTGGCTTATCAAGTATCATAGTTTGGTTACTATGATCACGGTAGGCTTAACAAGGATCATTGTTGGTTCAAGAAGGATATTGGTTGGTTCAACAAGAATTTGGTTGGCTCAACAAGGATATTGGTTGGCTCAAAAGTGTTATTGGTTGGCTCAACAAGGATATTTATTGGCTCAACTAATATATTGGTTGGCTCAAGAAGGATCATGGTTGGCTTAACAAGAATCCTGGTTGGCAAGAAGACTCCCATTTCCTGCAATTTAACATGCACTGCATTCACGAGATTAATCACCAAACATCAAAGCTCTCTAATAAATGAACCTTTTAGATAAGTGTGAGTGGAATTGCCTTTGAGAAACATTGTTCGATTTTAAATCGTAACTCTAAAGACAAATAGATGTTCAAAACAATGTAGACACCAAAACCGAACTAAATAAAACTTAAAAATTATCGTACATTTACTACTTCTTGACATTCCGGACGTCATAAATGTTAACTCAAATTGTTGAATATTTCTTGCACCAGTATAAATATTTTTGACGCCTCATCTTTCGCAAGGCGGCAATTTGACAATAATCTCTCTTGAATAGTGAGGAAAATTCAATTACATTGCACAAATAAATATACTTCCAAAACTTGGAACCAAAATGAACCACATATTTAAATATCACTGGCATCTGTCCTACATACGAAGTAGAACTAAAGAATTCGCCGAAGTATACAGTAAGTATGTAGTGTATATACTGTAAGTATTCAGCATATTGACGTGTTTGGGAATTTGCCGCCTGCGCGAGCAGTCGAGGAAATAGTATATCTGCTTTGACAACATTGTATGAGGTTCAATATCACTTCATCTAATATAGAATGTTTCTTGTTCTGAGAAGACATGAACTCTGATTGAGTGACATGTTGTTGGCTTCGTGTTCGTAACACAAGTGTATAGCGTTTATATTTTATTTTGGTTTGTGACTTTTGGTGGAACGGTATGGCTTCTGTAGTAAAGGCCAGACAATACGCAATTAAACTAGGGAAAATATATACGTCTCGTTATTAAGAAATGTGACAAAGAAAAGAATTCGAGCGTTCTTCAAC